GGGTTATAGACACCATATTTGTTCCTGCGTCACCTCTAATTCTTGGTTAGTGTCAACTCCGAGGGTAAATCAGTTCTGAAACGAGGATGGAAAAAAGCTCTCTTATGTTACGTCCAACGCTATTCGAAAGCACTAGACCCGCATATATATTTAATCCATTTATCAAGAATTCCAGATAATTATATCCTCCAACTAGAGTACATCATCATTCCGAAAAATAAGGACTATCAAACGACTCAGTCAAAGCAGAACCGATCACACATATTGAGAGTTTCATACAGACTGTTGTAAAGATTCTAATATTGGATAGAAACTACAATAGTCCACTGCACCGAACGTGCTCCGGATGAAGAGGCAGACCACAAACACCCAGACAATCTGGACAGCTGCAATGATATCATTGAAAGTTTAGTATTACGTGAACAAGCTGTGGACAACAGAGTACTGATTCCCGAGGTTATGGAAAGCGAACAGCCACTCCTGTGACGGGAGAAATGAAGACATTTGGCTGATCAAAACCTTTATATAAATATCATTAATTTCACTGTGTTTTTTGGGTATATTTGTTTTACTTAACTTATGAACTTGTTTGATTAATTATTTTCTGACATTTTGATTTCTGTTTGTCTTGGTTTGGTCATTTGGAGTTTTTGCTCCGGGAACCTATAAAATTGAAGGTATTTGTAGTTATTATAATTATTGTTGTTAGAACGACATTAATCGACTATTTGTAAATCGACGAACGACATTTTGGTCGACTATTTGTGAATTACGAATAAACTTTGGTACCTAACTTTGGAGTTTTGGTTCTGTTGTTAATTTGGGTTCGTGAATTGCAAATAGATCGACATACTGTACTTCAATAACGGGAAGGAGCAAAATTTGGACGTAACACTCCAAAGGCTGTGAGGACGGGTGCCCAAATATTCTCTCGTTTTGCGTTATAGACATAACCTCCGAGTTCAACCTTTTGTTAGATACAGCTGTAATACTGAGTATCATTCTAAAAAATGAAAGTGACCTGGGTCGAAAAATGCCTCCAGTTATATTTCAAGCTGAAAATAAAACTAAAATCGCCATATTTGAGGAGAAAACGTTACGACCAGATCTTGGATTTAAGAGGCGATTCACATGGTCGTTCATTGTAGCGTATTTTGATTTGGAAATCATGTGAGTGGAATTTGAGGAGTTATGAATTTTCATTTGTTTTGACACTCGGGGAAAGTTCATCTTGCTCACAAAGCATGGGAAGCCACATCAATTCCCTGAATCTCTTACAGACTCCATCAGAAACAACTGCAAAACTGTAGGACGTACTGGCAGAACTTCTACACCTGACGAAATATATGATCCCCAACCATCTAAAGGCTATCTAAATGTCAGTCATGCAATCGAAATTGTAGGTGTACTCATGCTTTCCAGGCCCAAAATACTGGCACCTGATAAGCTTTAAATATGAAGGGCCTAATTCGACTACTTAACACAGTTGAGTATCATCCATCCTTATGATAGCCGATGGGCATCCTCCCTCCATATGATCCCATAGTTAGGCGAGATTGGCTGGAAACTATGTGGCAATTGCGGAGCTCTCAACTGTTAAATCATGCCACATAGATACCCGATGCCTCATAGACAAGGTTTCACAAGCGGATTACAGGATACTAGCGTATTTACTAAAATTGTCCTGATCACAGTATCCGACTTACTGAGGTGGACATTACAAGGACAGTTAATAAAACAGCTTTTGAACTGTTCGACCATGGGGACTCAACTAAATGTTCCAAAGATTCACTACTAATCTACTTCAAGATATGCATCTTGCAAAAGGATATAGACTGTTTTTTAACCTAAACTCCAGATTCAGCACCATATGAGAGCTGTTTTTAAAGAAGCTACATGGAAATGGAATAAACACACGTCAAAGTCAGTGTGTTTTGGAAGGCAAGACTTTAGAAATTCTGGGACGAACAATGATCCCCGAAGAACTAAGATAATAAAAGGGAGGCAGAGACAACTGAGAAATACTCCATACCAGGTTCTGAAACACAGCTTAAAGGTTTTCTAGGTTTAAATAGCTTTCATCATCGATTTATACCAGGCTGGGCATAACTGATGGAACCGTTGATAGATTCCCTTTGAGAAAACCGGAAAAGTTTTAATTTGACTTTGGAAGCTATTGAAGCTTTTAAATAGCTAAAGAGTAACTTAACCCAAGTGTAGATGGATTTTCTACCGTAGCAGTTCAATTCGATTCTAATAGACGTATGCTGAACGCACCTTTCCTTAGTCGAATATCAAAACACAATAATTCTAGGAGAAAGTGGTCTATTTATATAAAAGAAATGGAAATACAAACGTTTACCTGACAATTGTTACGTCTTCCAAGTCGAAATTACTCTGATGAGTATCCGAGTTCAAAAGACTGGGTGAAGCTAGTATACTGCGACGATATCAAATCTAAAATGTGGCTGTAGCCATATTATATATCAAATTTAAACAACATGTGTACAGTTCAGAAGCAAACATAAAAACTTCAATATAAGTACAAAATATAGAAAGAATAACAATATACAATGATAAAATCTCAAAATGGAATCAAATAGAGTACTAAAATGTCAACAGAAAGTGTCAGTCATATCATAACAAAAATATATAAACATGGAGGGATTTTCCAAAACACAAAACATTCAAAAAAGATTCTACACCAAGCAGTCATGATAATGTATGCGAAGACAGATCTCCCACTGGTTTTAAGGGTAGGAACTTCCGAAAAACAGTAAGTGGTGTACATAAACCACTGTTTAAAATTACAGGTCAACGAAATGCATCCTTTTTGAAAGGGATTGCCTCCAGAAAGGCGAGAAACTCTACTTTTGGGCGGGAACTTGCAATTCACCTGGCTATCAAGCATTTCCGGCGCAGGTTGAAAGGCAGGGAATTCATAGTTTACTCAGATCACAAACTGCGGACAATGCTCTGAAAGGTAATGCCCATAGATATTCGACTAGAGATATGCCACACCTTGATTTCACATCACAGTCCACCAGCGGCATACGACATGTAACAAGTCTGGAAAATCAGGCAGCAGATGCATCATTTCGATTAGAAATGAACAAAATTCAACAATGAACTATAATTTTTGAAGCCTGAGTAGCCAACAAGAGAGGAGTTGAAGAACTACTTTCAATGAAAATCTCTAGGCTCAATTTGAAATAGCATCTGTCACCGATCAGTGGTAGTTCGTTCTGTTGTGACATAATCAGAGTAACGCCTCGGCCATTCGTCTTCAAAACTATGGAGAAATTAATAATTAATAATCTCCCTGCTTTATCAAATTCTGGCTAGCAGGCAAACACCAAATCAATACATACTAGATATATATGGCTTCAGTTAAAGAAAGACGAACACAAGTTGAGTAGGGAATGTTCTGAGTATCAACAGCCGAAGTTCAACTGTCATAAGACTTTACTTATTGAAGTTTTATCGCGGCCAGATGCACGGATTGTACGAGTTCATATAGATGAGATAGGACCTTTACCGCCTTTGAGTGATGCTAATCACTTATTTACGAGCATAGACAGATTTATAAGGTTCCCAGTAGCCATATCGATAGGCGATATCACAGCTGAAACGGTGGCCAAAGCCTTTGTTCCAAACTGTGTGATAATTTATAATGTATCCATCACGACACCATCTGAAATAGTAGCCCATTTGGAATCTGAGCTATTCAACAATTTACCAATGCCTTTAGGCCCTATAAGAATACAGTGTACAATATGTTTTAATATCAAATTCCCCACTCCATCGTGTCTTTAAGGAGACCTGAATAAAGACTTACTTCAGTCACGTTCCTGGCTTTCGATATACATACGGGGGTATAAATCAAAATTGTGATAGACACAACAACTTCCAGCTGCACTCTCAAGTCTTTAAAGGAGAAGATAGGAAAGATCCAGCCTGCTACAGACCACTACTAATGCTATAGAACGTAATGGAAGGTTAGTAAGTGAAAATCTGAGGAAGCGCATGGATAAAAAGAACGACCTCCGTAAAGCCGAACATGGGCATAGGATAGGCAGGTCTTCCCCAAAATGATGGAGAAAATTTTTAGCGTAGCGTGGGACGAAAAATACTGGTCCGTGTAACACTGTCTGACTTAGCAAAAGCTTTCGACAGTGTACCACAAGCACAATAAATGACTAGGGTTAAGGAGATAGGACTCACTGGTTTTCTTTCGTCTTAACTCCGAAATTACTCAGGCAACAAGATGTTTCGCACCAGAGTAAATAGAATGCATGCGTACTGTTCAGTCTAAAAATCAGGAGTTTCGCAGGATTAATTATTTGGTCTACTTCTCTTCTCGGTTTGCGTTAATGACTTTCAAAGTAAAATTATCTCGGCAGCAATAGTCTAATTAAACAACTCAAAGATCTGTAGTCACGACACAAGCACCCTTCGAGAACATCACCACTAAACCATGGGATACACAAACTCCTTCTGATTAAAAGTTGTTCCTCTTTGGAGTGATCTACCAGCCAAGGTGACCCTATCCCCCTTAGTGGATAGCTTCAAGAGGAGATTTGACAAACACGAACTTACGTACGGATTATCATAGCGCGCTTGGATCAGCTGTGCCTGACGCACGTTTGAAAACCTGTTTGTTGTTATCATTATCATTTCTGCAGGTAACTAACTTATTCTAAATCGTTTAATACCGTCTATATCTCCCTTATTATCCTGAAACCCTATCCCTCTCACAATTTCTGACTTGGTTATTTACTTATCTACTTATTTCTGAAACATTGGTCTACAGCATTATAGTGTACTAGATGAAGGTATCCAGAAATCCTACTTCCCTGAGACAAACGAATTCACTCAAATTACAGGACTTCAAATTCATAAACAGCTGCCGACTAACTGAAACCGCACCGAAAAAACAAGAACCAAGAGCAAAGAAATCAATATCTTTATAGTAGTTCGTGAAAAAGATATTGGATATTGAACTGTAATTTGTGCGTCCGAGTGCCTTGAATAGCATCGAATGAACATTACCAAATAATCGCAACCGTACCGGACGAGCGAGAAGCCAGTGCAGAGACATTGATCCATTCATACTACCTCTTTAAAAAATGTTAGATAAGTCAAACTTTGTTTATCTGTTTCGAATAAATGAACACTTAGCACTTGTTACTTTTTTGGTTTTCTTTTGGTGTTGTGCATTGACTATGAAAAAATTCTTTTTCTAGAAGAATAAAAAGGTTTTTAAGATTATCACTGTAATTTAGCAACGTAAATAATTGTGATAATAAATAATCTGTGGTTTGATACATTTTTTATGAGATAATACCGTTGATTAATAAATTTTTCCATCATAACTTATTAGATAATGTCATTTGAACCTATAAGGTGGAAACGACATAGTGATATCAAGAAACGATAGTTGGTTCGGACCTTATTATTTCGTTAAAAGTATGTAGCAATCTTTTATTTCTGAATGGTAGTCCATGTATCGTAATTTATCTAAAGAAATGAATTGAAGTGAGATAAAATGATTTCGCTAGAAAGCTAGCAAATCAATCTCATGTGGTATATTTTCTCCGGGATATCTAGGTAATCGAAGCATTTTAAAATATGAATTCGATGACCTGGTAATCGTATAACTATAATTTTTCAAGTGCTTATAAAAATACTGAATAAATAAAGTTGTATTTTATGTGGATATGTTCATTTAGAAGCTAATTTTATCAGTAGCATTTGTAGATATTGTCTTATACCACACAGATCGCCTACTAAGCCAATTTAGGGTCGGCTTCAGTTTTCTATTTCTTTTGAAACTATACTTATTTTCACTTGTTGAGTGTTACTTCAAGCACAGTTTTATTTTTTTACATATAGCTTTAGTAATTCTGCACAGATTACTTTGTATATACATTTTAGATGTCTTTATACCCTTCCCTCGAAGAGTTAAAAGTAAGAACATTGATTGAGAGTCAAGGAAATGTACCGGAAACCATACCGTCTAATTGTCAAGGACCAACATTACAATTTAATTCCACCGTTAATGGAGGTAATGGTTTCGAAGTGAGTATGTCTTACGGCGGTTGTAACCCGCCTGCCATTGGTGGATCTGCGATAACCGGAATCTGTTCCCGACCTACTTCAGATTGTGCAAATCCCACAATGTCGGTTACTCCTTATACACCAAGCGGAGCACTTTGTTTACCTCTTCCAGCACCTTTTGATTGCGTAGATATAAAACCAGGAGTTAGATTTGTCACTCTTTGTAAAAATGAATTCGGTAAAGTGGGAATTCAGCTTAGAGAAATACAAAAAGTAAGTTTCAACAAAAATGTTTCTACCACGACTAGGGTTATCTTAATTGTTATTATGAACTTGAAATAATATGACGAAATACTAATAGTTTCAATATATCCAGAACTTTTACACGACACAAGCGAGAACTTGGATTTGAATTATGGAGTATGAATTTGTATTGTATCAATACATCCGTTTTAAAATACAACATAAAATGTTTACTTGTATAATAAATGTATTTACTATTCAGCTCAGTTACATTTAAGAAAAATTTACCATTGGTAATTAGGAGTACGTGCAGTACTGGATGATTACATTTATTTCTATTCTAAAATTATTTTAACTTCAGAAAATGATTTTTTTCATATATTTCTTAGTCATAAATCAAATTTCAATTACTAGAAAGCATGTATCTTAAATTATTTCACTTTGACCTGTCACAGATCGACAATCTGAAACAAAACCTGACAAGTTACACTGTTAATTTGTGATGATTAATTTGCACCCTCTGAATGAAGGGTAGATCCATGACAGTCATGTATTAAAACCTAGAGCTTGATAACTTTAAGTTTTGTTGAAGAAATCTTAGTATGATTGGAATGGTTTCATTTTAAAGGACTGAAGTGAAAACGAGGTGTGCTGTTATAGCGACGGATTCTTTTGAGCAAGGCAGTCTGTGAACGTGAAAAATAAAAACAATGGAATAACGACGGAGGTAAAAATAAATGAAATCGAAGTTTTTATATAGGTCTTTGCCAGGGAACAGTCAGTCATTTAGTCAGTTACAATGTAGAACTTCGTACGTACGTACATCAGTTCAGGTAGCAATACCATATTAACATAGTGACGCAATTATCAATACACGGTTATTACAAGTGAGAAAAGCGTATTATTAAATGACATCAAAATGTGTTATTGCACTTCCTAATAAATAAACAATACAACAATCGATGATGGCCTGCTCCGAGTTCGATTCTTTGTAGTAACTACAAACTTTTTAGACGTATGTATTGATAATTTGATTTTGTTTTGATAAATCTGTCTAGGTTTATGAAAAAGACATTTTCTTAAGATCGACTCAAGTATCAATAAAAATCAGATGACTAAGCTATACCTACTACGGTGTTTAGTACTTGATTCATCCTACCGAATTAAATTTCACGTTGTTATACTGTAATCAACAAGTGGGTATATCTTGCACATTGAGCGAAACCAGAAAGCATTGAAGTGAAAGATTCTTCAAAATGATCCTTATTATGTCACATAACGATTTAAAAAATAACTCATAAAGTAAATAGAATGACTCTAATAGACTACACAATGTAACGAATACCTTACTGAAGTATCACATAGTGAGAACTAGTTACTTCAACAAAATTATTTAGGCCAGTTCTAATTGTTTCGTCCATTGTACAGTTGGTTTGCACTTGAAGAACGAAATTTATTCATTCTCACTGTTATCAGTTTACTATCCTGCAAAACAACTACGATATTATTCATTAATAAAATTAAGAAATAGATTTTTATATTTGAGAATTTCAGTTAAATTAAATTAGGGTAGATCAGTAATGGTATGTATTTATATTTATTAGTCTAAATCAACAATCTTTATAATAACCAAGTTTACTCAGATACATTTTGCACATTAAGATTATGAACTAAGAAACAACATATGGAAAATCGTTAGTATTGAGAAATATCTTGTATATAAAGTGATTACTTGAACCAGACTAAACGTTAAACAGAGAAAAAAAGACAACGGCTGTTAATATAAGTAAGTAAAGATGCAAGTAGCGCTAATCATATCATTATATATTAGGTTAAGTTATTACCGAGTACATGAGATGTTATGGATTGATAAAATGATAAAATTGAATTGAATAATGGATAGACTTTTAAAAACATTTTAAAGAAAAAAGCTAATCAAATGTGATAAATTTAAATTTTGAAAATAAAAATAATAAAGGTGAAACGTAAATTGAGACCTTGAACGACATGGCTCAGAATCGTTTGCAATGGCGTAGGTGCATCCACTCTTTGTGTTCTATGAAATTCTAAGCTTCTGCATCCCTCGTAATCTCTACCTTTCTCATTCTAAATTTATCCTACTGAATTATACTTCTCGAATCATACCTTCGCTCCCTGATCTTCTCCATTACTGCTAATACTTCTATTATGAATCTTGAATTTCTTCTTTCGTGTTTGTCGAACAAGACAAAAAATGTCTGAACTAGTAAATTCCAAGTTTCAGTTCTAGTATGAACTTGTTATTCAATGTCATACATAGGTTCTGCTTATATCTTCAAAATATTTCATATGACTGAAATCTTGTTTACGTTAGAACTAGTTTTAAGGACTGAGAAATAGCCTACGTCAAAAGTTATACATAAAGACTTTTATACTTTCTTTTCTTTTTTCCCACATTGATAGGGTATATTTGTTTCATTCGTGGAGGGATTTTCACCAGCTGCACTTGGTGGTGTGCGTTTTGGAGATCAAGTCTTGGAAATCAACGATATTTTGGTTACAGGATGTTCAGGGCATAGATCAATGGAAATATTGAAAAGTTCATCTCCCAATAATATAAGAATTGCATTACGTGATCGGTAAATAGAATATTTGTGTAATTTTTCTATTGATTAAAGTATTTAGTTGATATAATGTTTCATTATGTCCACATGTTTATGCTTATCGGTTGTTTGAATATATATATAAGAGTTTATATAGAATTGATATCACTCATATATGTCTTACTCTCACAATGTAGCTATTAAGCAGTAACTTAGTGGTTAAGGATTCGACATTTGATCCCTAAGTCCTAGGTTCAAATCCCACTGCATCGTCTTTATTTGTAGGCCATCATGTAGTATCGTTGGTCTTTTATCATAATTAAAGCGGCTTATACTCAGGATCCTGTTGAATTAGTTGATCTTATTATTTATATTATAAACTGATCAGTAACAGAATATTTAATTCATAATGCATCAGATAACTAATGTAGTCAGTATACTTAAATGTATTCAATAGTTGTGCATTTCAATTGTTGTAGTATGAATGTGTAGTCGTTATTTTCATCATACATTTGTAACTTCAATATACCATCCCGTTAACAGTTCACTTTAACAGGTTAATCGACCTAGTGCTATTGTGAATTTACTGTACAGTTAGTCACTATTGAAATCCACATGACAAGTCAGACACACCAAAGAATGGATTAGTTAATGAATAATAAGTGAGGAGCATATCTGTGTATTTAATGAGTGTTAATCAACATGTGGATAACATTATGGACTGTTCATGTTTATAACCAATCATATGTAAGAAATCGAGGTGCAGACATACACTCAATCATACTGATACAAATGTGTACATAACGAATTAAATGAAGGCATGACAGGTTTTTTATGCAGTACGAATTAATTACGAGGGCCGACTATTATTGCTCTCTCTTTCACTCGCCTGCTTTCCAAGTTTGACATTTGTAGTGAAAATTCTGACTTTGGTGTTGGTTGATAGCTGATTTGAGTTACATATGTTTTTCAGTTGTAGAAATGTAGCCCTTGCTTTCTCGAACCACGTCCTCACATCTGCATCAGATCCACCTTGTTCATCAATGATGCTGCCCAGATATGTAAAGGGTTTTATGTCCTCCAAGGCATCACCGTTAGGAGTGGTTTGGTTGGTGCATGTTGTGTTGTATCGGAGAGTCTTGCTTTTCGCTATATGTATGTTGAGACCTGCTGCTGCTACAGTGGTCGTCTTCTCTAGCAATTGTTGTTGCGTGTGTGATAGGAGGGCCGGATCATCTGAGAGGTTCAGATCTTCCAGTTGCATTCTAGTTGTCCATCGTATAACGTGTATCACTCCAGATGTTGATGTCTTCGTAATTCAGTCGATCACCAGGAGAAAGCGAAAGGGTGAGAGTAAGCAACCTTGCTTGTCAGCGGTCTTCACCTCAAATGAGTGTGTCAACTGTCCTCCGTGCACGATTTGGCAGTTTAATACATCATAAGAATTCCGTACGATGTTGGCTATCTTATCAAGTACTCAATAGTGTTGTCCTGTCCATGTTACGAAATGCTTTCTCGTAGTCAATGAAGTTGATATAGAGTGGTGAGTTCCACTCAATTAACTGTTCCACAATGATCAGTAATGCTTGAATTTGCTTGGTACACGACCAATCCTGACGAAATCCAGAATGTGGATCTGGAAGTTGACCGTCTTCGAAGTCCTTCATTTTGTTTAATAGCACCCTGTGGAGGACTTTGCCTGGTATTGAGAGAAGAGTAATGCTTTTTAGTTGTCATACTTGCTGAGATATTCTTTCTTTGGTGTGTTAATGAGGTATCCTTGTTTTCAGTCCAAAATCTTGTTGAAGACAATGTGGAGTATGTTTGCAGTTGTTGCCACGTCTGCTTTCATTGCCTCAGCTGGAGTGATGTCTGGTCCCACACCATTGTTACTCTGGATTTGTTTGATGGCCATACTTATCTCTGCAATTGTTGGTGCGTCAGCATTGATTGAGAGGTCCAAGCGATTGCCTCATTGACCCAATTTCCTATTGTTCCCCATGGTAGTTTCAGTTACATCGAGTAGATTTCGAAAAGCTTTGAATTTATGGATGAGGGCTATTTTGAACTCGTTGAACTTGACAGTATTCTAAGAATGGCACTATTAACGTTTCGTGATGTTGTTGGACCAGTTGTCCAGTCTTCTTGAGTTTCAGCTTCATTTTGGCGACGGGCAAGTGGTGTATTGAGGCTATATTAGCACTTCTCTTGGTTCTCACGTCTTACATGTTCGAATGTGTTTCACTGATTGCAATCATCTCCATGTTGTATCAGTTCATTTTTGCAGCGATTTGGAACAGTCGTCGAATCTCCCACATTGTTTGAACCTTCCATGTACCTAAAAGAATGGTCACTGTGATTATGAGAATAGACATCAGCCTCGTGACTTCTGAAGGAACTTGGTTTTCGTTACGAGACATCATAACTCTTCTTAATGAAGACGTTCTAACTCCTAGGGCATAGTGAATCTGATTTGAATTATCTTTTCTGGTTGGCGTTTCTTAGCGAGTTAATTTCCTGAGTCATAAGGTCACCAATCCCAAGCTCAATCCTTCTTTTTTATCTAGGCTTGGGACCGGTAGTAGCTTTGGAGGGGTCATACATATGCACCATTGGATACGAACTCATTAGTATAGAGGCCTTGGGTTTACACGATAGACCTAAGGCTCCGTGTTTAATCCTTAGTAGATTCATGGATGACTACTACTAAACAGTGCCAAGATAGCGAGAAGCAACAGTTTTGTGCTTCCTGGTTTTTGATAGTTCTTAAATATAGGTTGGTTCATGATTTCAATATCATTGAATAGTTTCCAAAAACTAATAATAATGTACATGATTAGTCGAAAATCAATCGACTGTATTATTAAGCATTGATTTCTATACTGATCAAGTGAAATAGATCAAAATAGACAAATATATAAACGGATTTTTAGTAATGACTTAATTACTTAATCTTCTGTAGTAGTAAAATGGCATAATATTTTAATACAAAAGTTGCCAAGGAGTCGGTGTCCGACAAAACCTCTTCACGGATTTAAAACACACCGTATAAAGAGATGGCAAATAGATGGAGGAGCAAGTGAATTTTTTGTAGAGCAAGGTAGTTGAAGCATGTTCTGTGTGTGTTCAATCACCACTTATTTCCAAGTGCTATGTTTGCTAATAAAGGGATAGGTTGGAATACAACTGTAGATGGCCGAATGAAAATGTGTCATCAGTTCATGAGATCACTGGTTGCTAGTTGGAGACAAATAGGTGGGTTTAGACTACGTACTTGAGGTTCACGGATCTACCGTCACCAGTGGTTGAAGACGGTGGGTAATATACCTTGAAATTGATCACAGTAGCACAAATGCATTCATTCTTTGTTTTCATTCTGATTCTAAGCTTCAAAACTGCCTTTTACTTACTTATTTTCTTTCTTCTCTAATCATAGATTCTACTTGTCATATTTTCTACTACCCTTAATACTACGCTATCACTCTATCATCTCGATATGTAAATGTAACGTAAAAACCTGAACCAATGCAAATATATATTCATTGTTCAATATTTTGTATGACTAACTTAATTAATAAGTTGTGTTAAATTGTTCACTCTGACAAATATTTTAATGCTTTTTTATTTGTTAATCTTTTTGCTTTTTCCTTAGACCATTTGAACGTGTGATTACTGTTCATAAAGATAGTTTAGGCGCTGTTGGTATACAAGTTCGTAATGGTTTAATTAAAGCAATTGTTAAAGATTCAAGTGCTGCACGTAATGGTGTATTAGTTCGTCATCAAATAATTGAAATTAATGGACAAAATGTTGTTGGTTTAAAAGATAGAGATTTATTACAACTTATGGAAGAATCAAAAACTCCAATGAAAGTTACTATTATACCAAAAACATTTTATGATAAATTAACTAAGAGGTAAGCTACTTTTAATTTCAAACACTTACTTGCTTATATATATATATATATATATGTCAGTCCCTTGAGTAATCTGAGATGTAATTCATCGGGTTCTATAAATTTACTAGAATCAAGCTTATTCAACAGGTCGATGACATCAGGTTCCCCAATGTCCACAGCATCCAGATTATGTATAGGCGGGGCTTGTAAGAACTGGGGGGGGGGGGGAAAGGCACCTTTGTGGTGTTTACATCACTAAAATAGTTTGAGTATACCTTAGCCTCACCATAATCGTCTTCCACCTATGATGGCGTACTAATGTTTCCTCATAATACTGAGATGCAGCCTCTTCTCTTAGTCCGTTTGTTGGTGTATGAGCATAGGCGCTTTAAGTACTCTGAAGAGTCCTTTATTAATTTCTTTCACATGATCTTCTAGACTTGGGGAGGGCACTTTTAATAACTGTGTCAGCTAATTTCCGACCGAAAAATGTTTCTGTCAATTCAGTCCTCAGATCTTCCTAGTCGTCTATAGAAGGTGCATTGACTACTTAAAGACCAAGTATTGAGCTTATCTAAAAACAAACCTCATTCACCTTACAGTTTGAACAGTGGCAAATCAAACTAATTGTCAGCTCATGCGCCTTGCATTCCAAGTGAGAAATAACAAATTCACTCGTCCCACTTTTATGGAATATGTTGTCGATAACGATAAAAAGGATAGTGGTTCCAGTGAATAAGGCTACTCCGCCTCCTTTACGCTTTTGAATTCTGTGGGCTGTAGATTAAGTGAAATTTTCGAAATTAAGATCTTTATTTTCTACAAACTAAATTAGTCATGTTTCTATGATGGCAGTTATTTTCGGCTTACTAGAGTCTATCTGTACACTTAGTTCCGATTGCTTGTTGAGTAGCAAACGTCAAAACCATAGGAGTGACTACGTGCCACACCTAAATTGATTTCGACATCATTGTCTGTTGAAGCCTCACCATCCAAAAACTCGAAATTCTTAGGTCATTTTTGCAGCATCTAACCTTATTTTTAGTTGTTTTTCGGCCTCGTTTTCTAAATTTTCAAAACTATAAATTTAACTCAGCGAGCCAAAAATACCACTGTCCTTTTTAAACAAAAAACAAAACAAAAGTAGAGTTAACTAACTATTAGCAACTGCTGTAATTTTTAATGTTCTTTTAATTTGATGTTAGTTTACGGTACGGTAAAAATAACCCACAAATCTTGCACAGTCTTTTCATTTGAATCGTTTTCATCAGAATTGGTCAGTTGGGTCTATTGTGGAAATAATTCCAATCAATCTCTAACAGTTTACATTGTTAAGGCCAGTGTATGTATATGGTAGATTGTAAAATAACACTTGAATTCCAATCATTCGATTACTGTTGAATCTATATCTGTTACTGAAAGTATGCTTTCTAAAAGTATGTACATCAATCTGTTGTACATGACTGTTGAATTAGATCACTAATTTGGATTGTATGACTTGAAGAATGATGAGTAGTGTAATTTTTTTTATCTTCATTTCTAAGAATTATTAATTTGAAATCATGACTATAATTTGTCCTTATGTTCAGTTTTATATATTACCATGTAATAATGAAACATATACTGTAGTGAAAGAGAACACAGGTGAGGGCAACCGAATTGTATTTAACGAAAATTACAGAGTTACTCAGTAAAATCGGAAAACCATATCGTAAATTGTTCATTTGCAAAATATCAGTTCATCATATCGAACTGGACTGTTCCTGTTGCAAACAACATCAATCCATTGTCACTCTTCATGATGCGTTTCATACAAATTCCATTGTTTTCTAACTCTTCCTTTCTTGATCTTCCCCCATCTTCTGCTGCCAGACATTACGTTGACACTCACGTCATATACTACTTATAAGTAGCTCACACCACAATACTACAACTTGTTACTTTGTAAGCATTTACATTTTTCACTTGTTGACATTATCAATTGTGATTGATTAGCAGTCTTTGTTGATATGTTGTGAGCATTCTGAACAAATCACTTTTAGATATGATCATTTAAAATTTACAATTAGATTGTGATGAATTTATGGAATTTTCCACACTGTAAATCAAGGCCAGTAAATATGATAAACATTAACGCATTGATTGGGATGTATGCCTGTCTAATGAAAAGCAAGTAGAATGAAACAAGTCAGTTAGTCAGTTACAACGTAGAACTTTGTACGTACGTACCATCAGTTCAGGTTGTCATACCACATTATTCACAGAGACGCAAATGTCAATTCATATCCCATAATGGTAGATATAGTAGAAGTATTAGCGGTAATGCAAAAGAATAGGGTTCGAAGATTATGATTTGAGAAGTATAATTCAGTCAAATAAACTTAAGAAGAGAAAGACAGAGATGATAAGCAATCCAGAAGATTAGAATTTCAGAGAACACAAAGAGTGGATACACCTACACCAATCCTATTACACTTGGATTTGAACTGACAGTTGTGTCTGTGTGCTGATAGGGCATGGCAACCTGAACTGATCTACTTACGTACAAAGTTCTGCATTGTATCTGTCTGTCTGTCAGCAATGGTCATTCAAGGTCTCTAACAATCGATTACCAACATCTCGGGGACTTCAACCAGGTAGTCTATATCTACCACCAACATAACTCAATTCACTTGTTAGTAACTTCATGGATTTATGGCATGTTTTAGTTTTTTAACCGCCCTACAACTCTCTTCCAACCTACTCCTCCTCCTGAGCAATAAGCCATACTAATAATAATTAATAATAATCATAATAATTTTTCAAATTACACTGCATTTTTTCAAAGTCTACAAGACAGTATGATTTGATTTGTATTTTAACATGTCATTCATTCAACATGATTTATTCCTAAAAATAAAAATTGAAACAGAATTTCTTCTCAACATGAAACATGTATGAATGACTGACTCATTAATAAATGATCACTGAAATATTTCACTATGTTGATAGATAGATATATATCTATGCATATATACCTAAGCGATACCATCAACAACATTCCTGCTGAAAGTATCATGTATGAATTAATTTTACTCTGTCTGTCTGTCTGTTTGTCTGTGTGTGTGTGTGTGTGTGATAAGATTGAATAAATTCAAATCAATATTCAATTTGAAAAATATGGATTAAACCCAAATTATCTGATTATGATGATAAATGAAATATGAACGGTTTTTTGCAGTTTCTATTTTTGAATTGTTTGTGTCGCCTACAATTGCAATGTTGTTTTATTTTTTTTTTTTAAAAAAAATAAGAATACATTACTGATATTATTGAATGATGTGTGATGTATTATTCGTTCTAATTTAAACTCATCAACTTGAATGTATTTACATGTCAATGTGGATGTGTATACACACATCAATCAATTAATGAACAGCAACGGGGAACATCGTATGTACGCACGTACATCATCAATTCAAGTTGCCATATCACATTAGCGCAGAGAGATGTAATTTGTCAGTTGAAATCGCATAGTAGTAGAAGTAGTAAAGGTATTAGTAGTAGTCGGAGAGATTAAGGTTTGAGGATATTAGTCAAGAAGTAGAATCTAAGATTTGAGACAATACAAAGAATGAATGCGTGGAAGCCATTACAAATGGTTTTGAACTATGTCATTCAAGGTCTCTAATCATCGATTATTATCATCTCGCGGAACCCAATAAGGTAGTCGATACCTACCGTGAAATGACTAAGTCCAGTTGTTAGTGACTTCATGGATTTATGCCATGTTTTGGTTTGGCCTCTCCATAGCTTTCTCCCAATCTATTCTTACATTGTGCATCATAGCTCGACGAAGCAGTCGGTGGTTAGGCATACACAGCACATGTCCCAACCACCTCAACTGATAAAGTTACAATACTTCATCTACTGACCTGCCATCCTTACTTAACACCCTTTCCCTAACAACGTCATTGTTTACTCAGTTGTCACATGATACACGAGCAATACTTCGGAGAAACCTATGATCTACAAATATCTTCACCTCTGACTAGCCATATTTTACAATCATAAAGTAGGATGGAGATGATTCAGATGTGTTTATTTTTGTTTCAAATAACTAAATGAATGCATTTATTCACAATTATCTAATGAATTTAAGTAATCAATCACATTGAGAGTGACAGTGATAAAATTATCATCATACATATTTTTAAAGATTTTAAAAAATTCTAATTGTGAATAATGAAAGACTGTATGTAATTGATCAGTTTTATTTTTTTTGTGTGTGGCACGTATAACTGTTTAACGGATTGCCTTGTTATTATTATTAAGTAATTTGAAAGCTCTCTTTTTTCATTACAGTTTTATTCAATCAATGTGATCGGATTTTCATGAAATTAAAAATCTATCATGAGAGAATAATTTTTGTTTGTATAAAATGTGATGTGATTATTATCATTATTATGAAGTAATGCCAAAAAAATCTTTGATATAATTTGTAATAGTGTAGTGAAGGAGAACACAGCAGGTGAGGGAAACCGAATTGTATTTTAACGAAAATTACAGAGTTACTCAGTAAAATTGGAAAACCATATCGTAAATCGTTCATTTGCAAAAGATCAATTCATCATATCGAACTGGACTGTTCCTGTTGTAAAACATCAATCCATTGTCACTATTCATGCGTTTCATACAAATTCCATTATTTTCTAACTCTTCCTTTCTTGATCTTCCCCCCATCTTCTGCTGCCAGACATTACGTTGACACTCACGTCATATACTACTTATAAGTAGCTCACACCACAGTAGCAGCTTAAAGGATGTTATATAGCTATTCGTGAATGAATATAATGTTGATGTTAGGCGAGGTTTCTTTGTCAATGAACTTGTCAACACGGGAATTTTGAGTACAAGTAAACTGAATACAGTGAAAATTATAACTGATAATAACAGAAATATGGTTTTATTTCATAAAGAAACTAACTAACTACAGATTCGATTATGTGCATAATTATAGGTTATACACAAGGTGAAATCTGGTACATTTGTCCGTAGGTTGAAGTTACCAAATACCGTAAAGTGCTAGAGTAGTCTAAATAACAACTGTACTAGTAGTTAGTAGCAAAAGAAATTAGGTATCAATGCACCGGAACTTCTTTATAATGGATTTTGAGATGTACAACTCACTGTCTGCAGCCATTGGTTACGATGATAACCACACAGTCTGAGCGTACCTTCCTTTGTCTTCTTCTAACATGCTTCACTAGCTTTCTGAACTGATGATAAATAATATTTGGCCGAATAATTACAGTTGGAAAAAATTAATTACTTTATTAACTCGGCTCTAATTTTTATTTTGGGACTACAGGATTAACTTCAACACTGCTTCTTTGTTGGTCAAAATACATTGAAGATATATTTGATAAAATACTATTAAATATTTGATAAAATACTATTAATCTAGAAATCTCCTCTATTTTAAATGGCCATAAATCACATTGTAGCAGTAGATTTTGTGGCTTATAATACTTGTGATGATAATTCAGTGTTGACAAAAATTACTTACTTACTTACGCCTCTTAACCTCAATGAAGCATAGGCCGTCAACCAGCATTCTTCAACCTACTCTGTCCTGGGCTTCCCTTCCTAGTTCTTTCCAGTTTTTGTTCATTCTTACGGTGTAATGTGTTCCTTGGCCTTTCTCTTTTCCTTTGATCTGGAGGGTTCCATGTGGAGGCTTGTCTTGTGACACAGTTCGGTGCTTTTCGTAGTGTGTGTCCTATCCACTTCCACCGCTTCTTCCTGATTTCCTCCTCCACTGGAATCTTGTTTGTTCTCTTCAACAGTACTTTGTTGTTGATGATGTTTGGCCTACAAATCCTCAGTATTTTGCGTAGACACCTGTTCATAAATACTTGTATCTTCTGGATGATGGCTTTGGTAGTTCTCCAAGTTTCTGCTGTCTTGATATTTGTATTGAAAATCCTGATTTTGATGTTGAAATATATATAAATGTGTATATAAATATATAAAGACACAATTAGTCAATTTATTTCTTTTCATTTTGGCTTCTTTTTTTTCCTTCATAGTCTACCTTCTGGACAAATGCGATTACAAATGGATCGATCATTACCGTTTGTTTAAATTTAAAAACAAATTATTATTAGATAATAATTAATATATAAAAGCAAAATTATGCAATAACACCATGTTGTTCATTCTGGAGAGCTTTTCTCTCATTTTTACCTTTGACTCATCAATAATTAATTGCAGCAGTTCATTTTTAATTTGAAAAAAGATTTTTTTTTGTGTGTCTGTTTAACTTGTTTTTGTTTGAATTTGTTCAATTCAAATTGAACATTATTTAAATTGAAACGATACATTTTGAAATTAATTGTGAATGACACTAATGATGATGATGATAGGAATAACAGCGATAACTGATTATCGATTCCATTGAATAGTAAACAGTAACTGAACACTAATATATAAAAGTATGATTATTATTATTATTATTATTACTGTTATTATGACTATTATTTCTTTCCATTATCATCATTATCTTTCAGATAATATGTAATCACAGTAAGACAAAAGTTATTGTTCACCATTTTTATTTTTCTTTCAACTTTTCTGTTGTTTGTTTGTTTTGTTTTGTCGGTTTTTTTAAAAACTTTTTCAATGTTCATCAATTCAGCACAATTGATCATTGAATGTTATGTGATTTCATTGTTTTGATTCTTTTATTTTCTTTATATAAACTCTGATATCGTTTATTCATCAAGAAAAAAAAAAGATTGTTTATTGAATTGTTTGTTTACTAGTTGAGTTACAACAACTTGTTAACTTTATACTTTGGCTGAAGCAGTTAAGCATTATGTTTGAGGATTATTTTCATTGGTGGCGGTAACTCATTGGAATTCTTTACTTCAGGGCTATGCACTCTTTCCATTCTTGTTTAACTTTATCATAGATATGCTTTTAGAGTTAACTTATGTTTGTTTGACTTTTCAGGGGAGGACCTTCTATCAGGAGACTCACTTGTTGACTTGAACATGCTGATGACATAGTTCTACTTAGTGCAGTCATCTGAACACCTTAAGCCACAATACAAACATGTTCGGGATGCGGTTTTCTCCCTCGAAATGCAAAATGTTGCTTCAACATTGGGTCGTATCGGTACCTGGACTAGTGATAGGGAGTTAAGCAGTTGAGCGTGTAGACCTCTTCACTTATCTCAGGTGTCTCATCAGTGTTGATGGCCTGGTGACTTACAAAATCTCAACACGGATACAGAAAGCTCGACTGGCTTTTCCAACTTGCGAATAGAGGATATTCGTCGGTTACCAGTATTCGATCGTCGGTGTCTTTGAGCACTGCTAGTAGAAATTTTTAGATATGTTAATTATTGATAGGATACGAATTGATTTTGGCATTTCAACCAGTGTTTAGGTGGGGATTAATGCTAGGACACTGTGTATTGTATTAGTAATACTAAAATTGTTTGAGTACAATTGCAAATCAGAACGACGTGGCAAATGTATTACAAGAATCTGCAGATAAGTAACATCATTGTTCACAAATGTTCCTTTCTAGAACATATATATATATATATATATATATAGACAACATATTTATCCTCTATAAAGATAGTACGTGACAACCAGAGGTGCTTAAACAATTTAGTGAAGTACACCCTGTCATTAGGCTTACATCAGACGAACAAATAGGAGTTATAATAGCCTTTTTATACATTCTATTAATAAAATGAATCAATGAGAAGAAATTTAAACAATACATATACCAGGACATGGAAGCACACAGATTTCCTTAGCTGTGTACCTCTGCAGTTCAAAAGAACTTAGTACAAAATACTTTACGGGCAGAGTTTTGGAGGTTTGTGTTTATACACATTTGAAATCATCAATCAATCATTGTTAGACCACCATTAGAAACCTGAAAGCACTGGTATGGGACTCATCAGTGGCAGTGCGCATCCACGACTCCTGCGCCTCGCAGGATTCGAACCCGGTAACTTCGGTATTGCGCTCGAACGCCTAACCATCGGACCACTGGGCCGTCATCCAACGGTGTTTCTAATGGTGGTCTAACAATGATTGATTGATGATTTCAAATATACAAAATACTTTGTCATAGAGTAAGTGCTGTATGTTTTACCAATATAGTTGAAAACGCCTCACATAATACATTTAGGGAAAATGGATACCTCAGAAAGTTTGTAAACAATTAGATCAGCGCGTAAGTTGAAATAGGTGAAATACAAACGGTAAAAAAATAAATCCTTGTTCATGCACCTAAAATTAAAGGATGATACAACCGACTAGATATTAATCCAAAGATTGTGTGACACAATAAAAAAGAATATTCAACACCGAAAAAACTGAGTGCAGTAATTTTTTTTCTTATCAAATGGTGACGCCGAGGCTAAAGAATCCGTCACCTAGAATGATCATCTTGTTTTGTATTTATCTATTCGACTGCCCTTGTGTGCAGCAAGTCATATTGATCGAAGTTATGGAAATTTACATTTTCACGCTAAGCAGAGGAGTAGTTAAGGCTTTGAACAGTTCAATATTGAGCTATTTGGTGCAAACGGGTCATAGTTCACGTATAGATAAATCTTTATCAATAATTTGTTAGGCTTTAATCCCCTTCTTCAGGATGATTTTGGTTTTTTTCACCGTCATTATTTGCATTTCAGTTATTGTTATACCCTATTCAATCTCATGATTATTATTCTCTTGTTATTATGACCTTGGCGTCCTTGGTATTCTCCATACATGTCTAATATACAATTACCTCATAAATTTCACTTCAACCCCCCTATTATTCTAATGCTTGGATTATTCTGTAAGTTCATTTTGACGTCTAAGTAACGCTCTTCCATTTAGAAATTATGACGACCCACCGAACACAACGGATAAGTTCACACATTGTTGTGGATCGACTTAGATTAGACATTAACACCGTTGGATGATGACTCAGTGGTCCGCGCGCGCCTGTATGCGAGCGTCGTGAATGCTTGCTCCTGATGAGTCTCATAATTACATGGTAATAAAAATTATTAGAATTGTTTTAAAGTATTCAACATAAAAGTATATTTATATGTAGAATAGCTAGGTAGTTTAAATTCCAAACAGGATAGTCTTTTTTTTTAAAATTGGAAATATGATTTTAAGCAACTTAATGGTCACATTTACTTTCTGGAATCATTCTACTAGAGAAACAGTCAATTATATCCTATAGATGGATAACTTTGTTCAATAAAATAATGTCTGAGTAGAATTTTACATCTAGAGTTTATGAAATACATCATGTTCTTTATTTATGTTAGTTCATAGTTGACCTCCATAACCTTATCTTCATGTTATCCTTTTATCATAGGGAAGAAGTAACTGGATGGATGGTGTCACAATTTTTAAGTTTATTCCTAGTTAACTAAACAGGTTCTTCCAGACATCAACAGCTAATAATGTTTCATATAAACAAAAAAACTTGAATGTCTCTTTTTGCTGTTCAACTTCCTAATACTTCGGTACTTTACATAAAAAATGTGTAACTTAACAATCTTCACAACAACCCCATAATTCAAATTACCTGTGCTCACTAGTGACTATCTTCGTGCGGAATCTTCTCCGAGTTCTAGTGGGAAGACGTGACCAGTGCAGTTCAACCTGTTCGGGTGTAGGCAGTGTCTACTACCGAAGACTGTGTATGAGTTTGCGCAACTCCGTGAATTTGATCAAGTTAGATATTAACACCGTTGGAAAGCTGCTCAGTGGTCTGACGGTTGGGGCGTTCGCGCACTATACCGAAGGTCCTTGGTTGGAATCGTGCGGGGTGTAGTAGTCGCGGATGCGCACTGCTGAGGAGTCCCATACCAGGACGAGACGGCCGTCCAATGCTTCCAGGTTTCTAATGGTGGTCTAACATTGATCGATTCATGGTTTCAAAAAAGTGTGTAACTTAACAATCTTTACAACCCCGTAATGCAAAAAAAATTTTGTAATTAAACTTTACTTCAGGATTTTAATAACATTTAATATGAAAGATGTCCTCATCATTGTGACAGATTTTGGCAGCAAACATAAACTTGATACTTTCTTAAGTGTCTTTGAATATACATACGAACTATTTTTCATATTCAAAAATTAGGATCTGCAGATTTTCTAATTTACCTCAACTTCCAACAAATACATACTCATAATATTCTAGATTTTCCATGTAAAATACATTCTCCTTAATTCATTATACTTGAAACTAAGTTTAGGAATTACTGCTTATCGACTTAAAGCATTTAATAATAACACGTAGTTCATCAGTAGCTAAATTACAAATTAACCGATAGAATACATTCCTCACTAAGGATTATGTGACTAGCAAATGTAAATATCTAAGTCATATGTATATTCAGTCACAACCCAAATGAATCAGTAGTAACTTCTGATATTAAGTTACCGCGTAATGTAGTTTCTAAATCTGACTGGCGCATCTCTTCATACAGAAAAAAACTACATATACATCCTACTGACGAGTGCCAACTAGGTCGAATCCTAGGTGACCACATCGCACCATTGATTTTTCTGAAAGTGGAAAAATAATTTGAGTGTTTAAAACTGATTCAAATAGCTTTTGTCCAATTAGCATTGCAAATTTCTTTTCCAATAACTTGAAAATAGTGTTTCCCATGAAAGTGTTTTTCTTTCATATTTCTAAGATTTAATATGTATGTGAAATTATTTTCAACGAAATAATCCCTCAAATTTTAATATTTCACTAAATAAAATGGAATTTATTTCAGAATAAAAGGAAATTAGGTATATCTATTAGTGATTACTTTATTTGACCAAAATCAATTCATTCGTATATTGCTATCATATCTGTTTCAAAAGATATAATTTTTCAAAATAAAACCTTATTTAAATGTTATTTACTCAAATCAAAATAAGTTGAAACTTTAGTCAACTGTTCTATATTTACTATTGTTCCTTTGGATTTTTCTTTTAAAAAAAATAAATCAGAAATTATGATTTAAACACTATTTTTTAACTACTATATTACTATGTTGTATTATGTAATCATTAGTGTTAGTCCTAAGTATATATTGTTTGAATACTACTGTATTATCAAAATGATCGAACCATAGATATTCTACTAATCTTAAACTAGTTCGGATGTATACAGGGTATGAGGTTGCGCAACTCCGTGAATTTGATCAAGTTAGACATTAACACCGTTAGATACTGGCTTCGTGGTCCGATGGTTAGGGCGTTCGCGCACAATACTGAAGGTCCCAGGTTCGAATCCTGCGGGGTGCAGGAATCATGGATGCGCACTGCTGATGAGTAGTCCCATACCAGGACGAAACGGCCGTCCAGTGCTTCTTCCAGGTTTCTAATGGTGGTAGTCTAACATTGATCGATTCATGGTTACAAATAAAACTTAAACTAGTAGTTTGAAGTTGAATAAAACTACTCATTATAAATAAAAAGCATTCTTAAAAAAATGAGTTCTTACAGTGATATGATTCAAACTATTAATAGTTCACGTTACTCGGTAAACGGAACGAAGATCAGCGATACAGTGACACGATAGGCTGCTGTAATCCGTTTGTCCCAGAGCCCTGCTAACTAGATCAAGAAGTCCAGATAAGGTGTAGAGAATGTATTCTTCGAGCACTCAGAAAATACGAAGTCGGTTAGCACACAACTCAAACTTATTTATATAACCGATAAGACGCCACAAAATAGTGTACTAAAATAATCTATCAACCAATGACAGTCAAT